TGAAAGTGCAATAATTCAGATGCAATGCAAAAAAAAAGAAAATAATTTATATATCTTTTACATTTTATTTATTTATTTTTTGCAAAATAATCACGATTAACAGTTTAACAAATGTTGCGGCCCTAGAATCTCAACCATTAAGAAGATTCAGATTCTGATTGAAATTTCAATTTTTATTCTGATGGAGGTGTTCATTTAGATTGGACTTTTAAACCAACTGTAACCGGAATATGCTTCATGTAAACGCATCTAGTGTTGCAAACAATCCGATCAATGTTTTTATGGTGTCTAGTAATGGGAAGATTGGATCATTCTACTGACCTGGATCTTTGTCTCTCGTTCAGCATCAATGAATGAATCTTTATTCAAGTCTCCTAGTCCAGGAGCTTGTTTTCCTCCATGCACACTTGCCTTAAAGCAGGTTTGTTAGCTTTATAGTGTGACAATATTCATAATAATATTGCAGAGTCATGTGTAGAGGAAACAGAATTGTTTAGTTTTGTCTGAGCGGTCACACAAAACAATCACTCTCTGATTCCACTCGTTACTCCAGAGTCATTAAAGGATTTGTTCAAAATGAACAAATCATTCATGATCAACACATCGCTCACATCGTCACAGAGAGATAGCCTCACTCTAAACTGAAACAGCAGAAAGTATTTTAACATTCAAGCACCTTAATAAATAAACAGCAGATATAAATTACATAGCATTTTTCAGGTAAAACATGTAAATGCATGGGCTAACTAAATTGCAATAATGCTGTTTTGTCTTGCAGAGGTTGTTCAGCTTAGTCTAGCTGATGACAAGCGTCTGAGCATCACAACAGTGACCGTCGGCCTGAGCGCTGTGCTGTCCTGTGCCATTCAGGGCACACTGAGACCGCCCATCATCTGGAAAAGGAACGGCATCATCCTCAACTTCCTAGATCTAGAGGATATAAATGTGAGTACTTCGATATCACACTATTGGACAACACCATTATGTCTGAGAATAACGATGCAGTTCGCTGAGAAGTCTTTGAACCTTTGTGACGACGTGCCCCAATAGCATTGTGTGTAATTTAAGAGGGTTTTGAAAACGACATGATTACTCACTGCTAGAGAATTAACCCCCGGTCTCCCCTGCATGAAATACTGACCGGTATTCTTATAGTTTATATAGATCTCATGAAGCACATGTTTTGGTTGTCTGACAAAAGATTCACGTATTTGAATTACTTATAAAATTTCAATCCATTTGGATTACACAGTTTAAACATAAACTAATAAACTTGATGTGATACATATTTGTCAAACATACATAAATTTAACAAACAAAAAAGCAGTTAAGATGCAGGTAAGATTTCTGTAATAGTACTTATAAATTGAATGTTTTAAATACACATTAACTAGGATTATATATTTATCATCAATCTAAATTGTTTTTATCAAATCCAAATTGGATTCAAACTTACATTTTAAACATTTTAACTCCTTTAATATTGCTTGTTTTTTACAGATCTGGGCCAATGAATAATGTACTTGTTTTCACAATGTAATTTAATTTACAATTTTTTGTTTTAAATAAAAACAAATACTGCAGATGCAAAAAAA